GGGCCTGCCAAACAACAATGACAACTACAACCAAAAAATAGCTGGGTGTTGTGGAGGGCACCTGTAGCCCTGCTACTTGGGAGGCTGAGGCAAGAGAATTGCTTAAGCCCAGGAATTGGAGGTTACTGTGAGCTGTGATGCCATAGCACTCTACCCAGGGTGACAGCTTGAGGCTCTGTCTCAAAAAAAAAAAAAAAAAGAAAGCATTGCTTTTGATGAGCGTCATGAAGCTATTTTCCAATGTTATGATCTAGAAGCTGTATTGTTATACCTTTCATAAAAATATCCATGATCCCTCCAAAATCAAGAAGAGCAAGTGACCCTTACAGAAAAGTCTCAGGGTAGCTAGACTTCTTATAGTACATACGGTGGATGGGTACCCAGTGAGAGGGAGTGTTCCAAGAGGGGTTGAAGTTGAGGCTACAGCTGTCTTATAGCCTAAGCTCAGAAGTTTTAAAATTCGTTTGATTCAAGGCTGCCCACTTGTGAAAGATTAAGGTGGGGAAGAAGCAAATCTTAAAGTGGAGAGGATTTTTTTTCAGCATGGTGTAGAAAAGGGTTAGTTTCTTGGCTAGCATGTCCATATTATAAACAATCCAAGTGAGATTTTAGAAGCAGAACTCCAAGAGCTTTTGGCTATGTTTCCTAAAGAAGGTAGATGTTGCTACGATTTCACCAGAGAATGGGTCTAGACTCCCCAAGGATGTTAGGATGGGTTTAGTAATGGGGTGAAAGCAGCCTCTGGTGGCCAGTCCCTCCAAACTCCATCTCTGGGAAATGAACCTTTTGAAAAACTGCTGGGTTATCAATGGGAACTTAACATCAAACACAGGAAAATGCTTTAGGCATTTTAGGGGACATAGTTCAATCTTAAGACATTAGGGAGATGGTAAAAAAATCAACTGGATATTAGGATATATTGGAATATGTATATTTCTTCATTTGTAGTCAGATAGACCTGCACTCAATTCCAGTCTCAGTTACCTACTGGGTATGTGATCTTGTTTAGGTTTACAGGGGTACCTGCCTCAGAGGGCAGTTGTGATGATTAAAAGTAAAAGCACAGGATTATAGTCATGCATTGCTTAACAATGGTGATACCTGCTAAGAAAAGTGTCATTAAGCTATTTCATCATTGTACGGACATTATAGAGTGTTATTCACACAGACCTAAATGTATATCCTACTACACACCTAGGTTATATACTATAGCCTATTTCCCTTCTGGCTTTCAGAAGATTGAAAGAAGGGAGGAGAATGAAGTCTCAACTTTCTGACTTTATGATGGCCTTGGGCTGGCCCAGTCCCTAAAGCAGAGGTCACATTTCCTCTACTTACAAATCATGTTTTGTACATGTCTGTACATGTACAAATCATGTTATACATTACTGACTACTGCAACAAAATGGCATTTGTGTATATAAACATAAAAAAGCTACAGTACAAATATGTTAGAATAGTCTTATGAGACCACCGTTGTTTATGTGATCCATCCACCCTAATGGGGTGAGCAAGGCTCCCTGTGCACATTTTCTTCCTATCACCCTCAGGCTCTAACACCCCACACTGTTCCCCCCTTTACAAACGATGACTTCCTCACCTGGCACAGGCTCCAGCACCGTGTGCCTGCCCCTTTCCCTATGGACTCCCTTCTCACAGCACTCAGGTTCTGACACCCTGTGCTGATTTACTCTGGGGGGATGTCCTTACCACATTGGGCCCTCTGACTATCCATGCTGAACTTCCTTCCTTCTGTGGATGCCCTCCTCATCACTCTCAGGGGCTGACTCCCCTTGCCAGGCCGCTCCCTAGGATATAGTAGTCCTTAATAACATTATCCCAAATTATTGTTAATTAGTGCTATTGCACCAATACACTTTGTACTTGGTTTAGAGGTAGCATAGAGAAGGTACTGATTACAGCTAAGGCAGCTAAGGATACCAACAAAAATATAATAGGTAAAAGTGATGTTGAAGCTGGATTGCAAAAAAATAGTAATGTCAATAAAAAACCAAATGAGGAAAAGAGTCCAGACAGAGGAAACAGCAAGTATAAGAACACAGAAGAATGAAATAGCACGGTGCATTCAGGAAACCATGAGCAGTTTGCTACTGCTAGAGCGTCAAAGACCCAGATGGGAAAAATAGAGAGGAGGTTAATGGGTTAAACAGGTGGTACCCATAAAGGGGTTTGTAGGTAATGAGCATCTAGAAATGATTTTTAAAATGTTCTTTTATTTTGAAATAATTTAAAACTTGAGGGAAAGTTGCAAGAATTGAAGACAGAATGATGCTATGCCCAGGTTCCCCAATTATTGACATTCTATCACATGTATCACATTTATCTTATCATTCACTTTATCTCTCTATAGCTCTGTGTGTGTGTCTGCATGTGTGTGAATATGGCTACAGTATAACTGTCAAAATCAGAGAATTCATAAGGATATATTACAACCTATTTCCTTTACAGTAAAAAATATTTTTCTTCTGGTCCCAAATCCAACCCAGCCACAATCGTGTCTTGCATTCAGTTGTGAGGTTTTTATAGGCTCTTTGGAACTGGAGGGGTTCCTCAAAGCTTTCTCTTTTGGGACATTGGCATTTTGAAGAGTACAGGCCAATTATATTGTAGAATGTCTTCAGCTGGCTTTGTCTGATGTTTCCTCACGATTAGAGTCAATCATGCATTTTTGGTAGGAACACCATGAAAGATATACGGCACCGTGTTCTCAATGGTTCACACACAGAGGCGTACAAGGTCAATTTGTACCAGTGATTTTCATATTGATAACAATTCAGAGTATCTGCCAGGTATTTCCACTGTAAAGTTATCATTTTTCTTTTTTAAAATGAAATGTTTTGAAGGTAGTTACACTTAGGTAAAAATATGGCGGACCATATAAAGAACACAAGTGGAAACTCTTTCATGCAGCAACTCCACTTTTTAAGAATACATCCTAACAGGGTGGTGCCTGTGGCTCAGTGAGTAGGGCGCCGGCCCCATATACTGAGGGTAGTGGGTTTGAGGCTGGCCCAGGCCAAACTGCAACAACAAAAAAATAGCTGGGCATTGTGGCCAGCACCTGTAGTCCCAGCTACTCTGGAGGCTGAGGCAGGAGAATCGCCTAAGCCCAAGAGCTGAAGGTTGCTGTGAGCTGTGATGCCACAGTGCCTCTACTGAGGGCGACAAAGTGAGACTCTGTCTCTAGGAAAAAAAAAAAAAAGAATACATCCTAACTAAAGAAGGATATATGCAAATTTTTATTTTCTTTGTTTTTAATTTAATTTTATTAAATCATAACTGCATACATTTACGAAGTACAATGTGGTTTTTTAAAACTTTATTTTAATTAATATGAGCGTACAAAATTTAGGTTACATTGTTCTCACTTCCATTTGTACAAGAGCCCCTCACCCAGGGGGCGTTATACTCCCTCACAATGTGCACATTAGGTGAGATCCCACCTCCTGCCCTGGCTCCTTCTGCCATAGGTCCTCCTTGCCTCCTCCCTCTACCCCCAAAGATATATGCAAATTTTTAGCTAAAGGATTTTCATTAAAACTTTGTTTATAAAACAGAAATAGCCCAAATGTCTATTATGAGTGGGTTTGGTTCAGTAAATTATTCATACAATAGAATATTATGCAGCTATTAAAATTATGTGGTAAATGTATACTTAATGACGAGATCACAGCACACTAATCTTAGAAACAGCAACCTCAAACTCTTGGGCTTAAGCGATTCTCTTGCCTTAGCCTCCCAAGTAGCTGGGACTACAGGCGCCTGCCACAATGTCCAGCTAAATGGTCCAGTTTTTATTTAAAAATATTTTATATATACATGTGCACATGTATATCAATGCATACATATATATATTAAAATACACATATGGCTGTTGATTTTTTCTTTTTTGTTTATTAGGTTTTATTACATTGTATGTATTGCTTATATAATAAAACAAAGTTATTAAAATTACTGTAATATGCACTTTTCTAGCTTATTAAATATGGAAGTATTAAAAGGATATGACTAGGTAGCAAAGTTTACAGCATTTAGTTGACGCTGAAAAAAATACTACTTTCTCTCTCTTCCCTACTAAGAGGAAGTATTCAACCACTAGTTATAAAATGGAAGATCTGGGATGTAGTTTAAAAGACTTAGGGTTTGCAACAAATGACTTCCAATGCTTGTTTCAACTCTGACATTTCAGGATTCACACGATTTCCCCCTATTTACCTCTTAAACAATCAACTGGGATAATGCAAAACATTGTTTGTATTGAATATCAGTTGTTATGTCACTATTACTACCATATAGATTGTGAATGGGGGGGGTGGTGTGTGTAAAAAGAAAAAAAATGTGCACGAGAGGGAGCAGATGCAAATCTCAGCTGTCTGCCTTAATGACAGCTCGCTGGCTCTCCTTTTTGTGAATGAGCGATGGCCCTTAGTCCCCAGAGCGAACTTGATCAGTGAGAAACTGAACTTTAAAAGTGAGCTGCTTTCCAAAGGGCGCCAGGCGAATCAACCCAGAGGTGTGGAACGGCCTTTCCATCCGACTGAGCTACGGGGGACTTTCAGGGCTCTGGAATCTCTGTCAGTGGAGACAACTGCGTATGTGCCTGTCCAGGCACAGAGTGTGCCGCGAGAGGACCGCTGCTCCGGACCCCGCCTGGCCTTTACCACCGGCGCCGGCAGGCCGCGCTCGTGGCTGGGAGACACCCGGCGGCCGCTGAGGACTGGTCCCTGCTGGGCTCCGCCAGGGTCCCCACGTGCGCGCAGTCGCCGGGAGGCGGGGGAGAAGCTGGGAAAGCGGCGGGGGGCGGGGCGAAGGCCGCGGGGCGGGGCGCCGGCTGCGCGCGCGCGCGGGAGGTGGGGGCCGTGGGCGCGCAGAGTGGTCCGGGCCGCCCTGCGCTCCTCCCCCCTTCCGCGCCCGGGCCCGCGGCCGGCCGAGCTCCTCCCTCGGCTCGGTCTCTGCCCTCCCTCCAGCCGGCCGTCCCTCCCTCCGCCTCCTCCTCTTCCTCAGTGAGGCGCTCCTCCAGCAGGCAGGCAGCATGGCGGCTGTGGAGACGCGGGTGTGCGAAACAGACGGCTGCAACAGTGAGGCCAAGCTCCAGTGTCCCACCTGCATCAAGCTGGGCATCCAGGGCTCGTACTTCTGCTCGCAGGTAGGCGTCCGCTCCCTCGCGGCTGTGTCGCCGCCGGCGGACCCCCTCCCCACCGCTCCCCTGCTCTCCCGCCCCTGTGGCGAGTCGGGACACGCTCCTCCTCTTCCCCCCGGCCGCACTTCCTCCTCCCCTTACCCAGGTCGCCGCGGCCGCCCCCTCCAGCCTCTGGGGCTGCCGGGGTCCTTGGGACCCGGGGCGCTCGCGAGGGCGGGGACGCAGTCGGCTGCCGCCATGTGGGCTGGGGGCGGAAGCGACTTGTCCTGGGTCGCCCGGCGGCCAAGGGCGCTGCGTTAAAGCGGCCGCTTCCCGCCGCACATCCTCCGCCTGGGCTGGGACTGCCAGGTGTGCGGGCTGGCCAGCACAGGTAGCAACGCCGAGGAAGGGGGCGGCCCCAGTGTAGCGTGTCGCCGCGGCTGCAGCTCCCAGCAGGGCTCCGTTCTGAGGCTCTCGTCCGGTCCGCGGGGTTGAGTTAGTCACTCTGGTCCCGGCTGGGTTGGGGGGTAGAAGCGACGCGCTCTCCGGGATTTGAAGGGTGGGTTGCCTGATGAATGCCGACGTCGCGAGAGGAGGAATGCTGGCTGCAGTCCCACTTCTTTGTGTTTTACTACTGTGCTTTGACATTTAAGCAACTTTGGGGGTGAGAGTACACAGAGGTCTGTGTAATTCATTCTTTTCCTTTGGTAAACAAAATTATTAATTTAGAAAACCATAAATTAATGGGATGAGTCACCTGGCTCTGTTACTGACTTTCCCACTAAGTGGAAAGGACAGCTTCATTGAGAGTTGCACTTTTAGTTTTGTGCAGTGGAGGAAACCCAGCATGGAATGGGGTCCTAACTGAGGCTTGTCGTGTTTATGTTTACTGAAAAGTACTAGTGTTGTTGCTGTATTTCCAGGTTCAGAATGATGGCAGGGCAGCAAAAGTATGGCTCTTAGTTACTGTCCAGGTTGAGGAGAGGCACATGAATATTCCAGTATCTCAAGACTGAATTGGTACTGTGTTGGGGGAGGAGACTGTGAATAAGGTCAGAAGGCCTGGTCAGGGCCCTGCCCCTGCCAATTGCTGTGTGATCTTGAGTTAGTCTAGTTACTCAATCTTTTTGAGCTCCAGAGTACGCTGTACATAGGGAATGCCGATCGAGTTCCTTGTGTATTTCACAAGGTTCTTCTGAGACCTAAATTACCAAAGAGTGTGAAATGTAAGTCTTTCTATTTTTAAAGGATGCCAGTACACTTTAACACTGCTATGTATAAATAAATAAGAATGAAAGCAGATCTATTAACACAATAAATACAAGTATTTTCAAATAATGAGTATATTAAACTATATGTAAATAAACCTATAAATAAAATACTTAAAGTCATAACGCTTGTAGATAAGCCATTGTAAGAAGTCTTAGTTTTGTCAAATAGGTTTTGTTTATGGATAGGATATGATCCTTGACCTTGTTATCATTTGGAAAAAGTTGCACGTGGAGAAGTGCTGCTTGATCTAAAAATAGCATTGGGACTACTCAGCATGCTAAACCTGGTACGGGTCCTTTTGATTCTTTAAAATTTTCAAATTCTAATTTGTTGAGGCCTATGTGGGACCTGGACTTGAAAAAAACTAATAGTTTGCTTTTGGGAATTGTATACCATCTGAGTAGAATTATGTGTTACACTATTTAAAATTAGGTGGTATTTTATAATGATGAGTGAATTCATATAAACATTTCTGTAAGATTTAACAGATGTACTCTAAAACCATGTTTATTAACCATAGGTGATTTTCACTAAAAAGATTGAATTGTTGGGGTTTGTGGAAAGATGCTGTACGTATTTATGAAAACATGCAGGATTTTTTCTGTGTTGTAGGATGAGCATAGTAAATGTTGGATTATCCAGGTACATTTCTGGTACCACTGCTGTGTCTATAGTCAGATACATCCAGAGTGGTTCTCACAGCTGTGTCTTTTTCTTCATTCCTGTTATCACCTCCTATAGTCAGTTTTTAAAATTTCTCACCAAGTCAGTTGTAATTGTCTTTTTAATTCATTTCTCTACTGTCATTCCTTATCTTGCAAACCAACACCCGCAAAAACAATAAAACTGTAAATTATTCCCATAGTTTGATTATGCTTATTCCCTAAAAAAGAGTTCCCATTGCTTTCAGTTGTTATCTGTCTTTCAGTCCTAGCTTGAGACCTTGGTCATGTCACTGCAACTTGTCCTAAGCCAGTTTCTACATCTGTGGTTTTCCTGGCCACTTCTCTGATCATTTTCAGTAGGAGTGATCTGTCTTCTCTCTATACCTCATGCCTGGGATCTCCAGGCTGGCGGTCTGGCTAACAACTTGTCTGTGGGAACAAGACTGCAAGCTCTCTTTTTATAACACCACAACAGAAGTAAATCATTTTACTGTCATACCACCTTATTTCCATTGTAACATTTTATAGATCTGTGATTACCTCATTTGTTAGAAAACAAAGAAGAGTGTCTTTCTTTCAATCAGAAGATGAATTTCATAAATTACCTATCTTATCTTTGTCCTTGCCCTATCCTCATTTCCTAGTACTGTGCTTTTTATGCAGGTGGTGGTTGGTAAATGTTTAAATTAATGAACGAATGTACCAAAGGTAGACTAGAGAAGTTGAATGCTGCATTTGAATTATGACAGCATTGTTTATTAGCTATGAGACTTTGGGCAAATAACTTCTCTTGTTTGTCAGTTATATCTTTTTAAAATGAGTCAACTAATAGTACCTATTGTGGCTGGCTTTGGCAGCTCATGCCTGTAATCCTACCACTCTGGGAGGCCAAGGTGGAAGAATTGCTTGAGGCTAGGAATTAAAGACCAGCCTGAGCAACATAGCAAGACCCACATCTCTACAAAAAGAAAAAAAAGAAAAAGAAAACAAAAATTAGCTAGTTGTGAGCATCTGTAGTCCCAGCTAACTTGGGAGGCTGAGGCAGGAGGATTGTTGAGCCCAGGAGTTTGAGGTTGCAGTGAGTTGTGATAATGCTACTGCATTCAAGCCTGGGTGACAGAGGGAGATCCTGCCTCAAAATATATATAATAAAATAAAAAAATAATAAATAGTATCTTCCTCAGGGTTTTGAGGAAGATTAAATGCTAAGTGTGTAAAGCACTTAACAAATTAGTAAACTAGATAAATGTTAGCTCTTTTTATTGGAACACTGTGTTTTATATTTGAGGAGGCAGAAGTATTTTTACCCAAGATGCTTAATTTTAAGAAAAGTTTTGGTTCGTTGAAGGAGTAAATCCTGTTTTACTTGAAAATTGAGCTTTTTCAAGAGTTCCTGATGTTTGATTGTATTTCTGGGTGGAAGTGTCCCTTCTTATTTATTAGTTTGTATATGTCTTCTTCAGTTGCATGTAAGCATTTTTTGAGGATAGAGACTGCACTTTACTCATTTTTATGTTTTCTTGCATACAGTAGGCACCTACTTCGTTAAATGAAAGAAAAGAGTTGGGGGTGGGACCCAATTATAAGAGAGACTTTACCTAACAAATGCAATGAATCACAAACAATAAAAAAAGAAAAAGGAAAGAGATCATTGGGCTTACAATGGAGAACAAAGAAATTCTGCATTTCTGTTATTCTTTGTAAAGGCTGAATAGTATACTTTATTATAGATGTACTGTCATTTATTTCTTAATTTACAGTTGGGTTTAGTTCTTTAACTGCTGTTTAAATTAGTGATAACTTAACAGCATTTGCTGTTTTCTTTGGGTTAAAGGATCAGCTTAGTCCCTGAGTGATCTGTAACTGTTTATGTTGGTCGGTATGACAATTTAAAAGGTAGCAAGCATTGCGTAAATGGAAGGAGACCTGGGTATAAATCTTTGCTTCTGTATCATGGTAAGTCATCTTCTAATTTGTTAAGAGAGGACTAATGGAGCATTCTTCTCATGGAGTTGAGGGAAGGGGAATGCTAGCATGCCTGCTTAGCATAGTTTTCAGGAAATGGTTTTATTATGCAAAGAACCTTATGTGTGATGTTATGAACATGAGTTCTAAGGAAGGCTTAAATGTGTTGACCTGGGGCCTGTGGCTCAAGCAGATAAGTCGCCAGCTACATTAACCTGAGCTGGTGGATTGGAATCCAGCTCCGGCCCGCCAAACAACAATGACAGCTGCAACCAAAAAATAGCTGGGCGTTGTGGCGGGTGCCTGTAGTCCCAGCTAGTTGGGAGGTGGAAGCAAGAGAACCGCTTGAGCCCAGGAGTTGGGGGTTGCTGTGAGCTGTGATGCTACAGCACTCTACCCAGGGCGACAGCTTGAGGCTCTGTCTGGAAAAAAAAAAAGTGTTTGAAAAGTGTTATTTGTTTGTAACCATTTTGGACACATTCTGTAACAGATTCTTTCAAAGAGGCAGAGGCAGGGTAAGGTGATTGAATCTTCAGGAAGAAAATAGGGCTGAGCATCTTGTTAGGTTGGAGGTGGTCATTCTAATATGCAGCATCTGTGAAATGAATCCTGCCCTCTGAAACTGTTTCTCCTTTAGTAACAAAGTTCCTGACAATGCAGAGTGTTTCTGGAATTCATCTTCATCATTGGACATACTGTCATATTGTGCCTTTTATTTATAAGTGTGAGAATTTTCTTTTAAGGCCTTATATTACCTCAGACTACCCTTAGATAATGCCATAAGTTAGTTGAGTTTGGGTACAAATGTTGTAGCATCTTATAAACAAAAGGATAAGATGAAGGTATAGAGGGGTTATGAGTTGTTTTACAACTAAAATAATTGCCCAGAAATAATTTCTGTGAAATATTTGATGTGCATTATGTACATATTTGTGTATTCTTTTTAAATTTATTTTTTATTTTTATTTTTATTTTTTGGTAGAGACAGGGTCTTGCTATGTTGTCCAGGCTAGTCTCAAACTCCTGGCCTCAAACAATCAATCCCCCTACTTTGGCTTCCAAAAATGGTAGAATTACAGGTATGAGCCACCATGCCCAGCCATACATATTTGAATTTTTTATATT